TCTCACATACAGAGTTACTGGTTTGGAGCTGCCATTTCCTCTGAACTGATACAATTGTTGATGTTTAATCGGTATGTTGTTGCACTACTGCATGTTTTGATGTTTATTTTAAAATCTCTCCCTTTATATGCTTCAGTTATATCTGAATACTTCTGCTAACCACTACTAGAGCTTATGTTATAAACCCATCATTTTAGACGACATACAATCTAGCAGAATCGCTGTATGGCGAGTGTTTTTTTTATTTCACGGGTCCCAAGCTTTGTAAAAGTTTGTGCATCCATCCTGTAGTGAGCTTCATACTGCCTGAAAGCCCGTCCAGCTGCAGCCTTTTGTATTTTTTGATCCCACATATGACGCAAGATGAAAAGTGACATGATTTCTTTGTTCCTGTAAGCAGGCGTTCATACCAAACGAGGTGGTCATCCCCCCGCACCGGTCACACGGTCCTGCCCTTCCATTGGACCTTCCTGTGTGCTGGGACATCACACAAAGCAGATCAGGGCTAAACTTAACTGATTTTCTTCTTGCTGGTCTAGTTGTAACCCAATCCAGTTTGCCATGCAGCCATAGAAATGCTTTTACAGGCACAAAGAAGGACAAGGCACACGTGTGAAAGTGAGCAGCTCACAGCAGAAGCAGAACCGTCTTTCTCAGCCACTCTACTGTCTTACTGTGATCTAATCATGAAACTATGATGCTACTTTACTTGAAATTCCGCTTCTAAATTAACATACTGGCAAGCATGGCTGGGTAACATAATCGGGCTTTTAACTGCTCACAAACTATACAAAGAGGATCAGAAACATATTTAAAATGCACAAGTGATCTTTCCATTGTACCGAATCACAGCAGCCAAACCCAGACTGACATATTTTATGCTCACAGTAAGGTCAAATCCCTCTGAAGAAATAAAAGGGACCTCAAAAGACATAGCCTAAGAGTCCAGAAATTGCTATTCATGACCCAGATTTCCACTGAAGAATTCCTGGAACTCACCCTTGTCCCACTTTTCCCAGCTCGTGCTTCCTATGTTATTCTTTAAGGCCCGCTGTCATTGTTACTGGGGTTTGGGGTGGTGGGGTTTTTTTTAACATTATTACATTTTTTGCAAGTGTGAAATCACAAGTAACTCAAAAAGCGAGTTAAACATCTGTTGCCCGAGATTATACAGCGGCAGAGTGTGGAACTGAACCCAGGCACTCCATGTAGCGTTCAGCTCGGCGGATAACACCACGGGGTTTGGTGTTTTTTCCAACTTTTCTCCAATTCCCCTCTCTAATCACCGAAACATGCCTTCTAGGTAACTGCCGTCTGTGAGTTCATGCTCAGTTTGGCTTCTGTTCCCGTCTCCTTCATTCAGTTGCAACTGCATGGAGCAGGAACCTACCCTTGCTCTCTAATACCAGGTTATGCAATCAGATTAAGGAGCCATCTGCAGCGCAAACCAAAACTGCGCTATAATCGCGTTCCCGGCTCACGCAGAACTTGGGCTTACGCAGGATCTGTGTCTCCTCGAATCATTCACCGGCCTCCCCGCTACTCCTCTCCTCCTTCTGCAGGCTGGATACGCAGGGCAAGCGATACGGGCAAATATTTCAGTGATTAAATCATGACGCTTTGAGTAGGGTCAGCTCGGATGCCGGTTCTGAGATTTAAAGGAATATCCGCGGCCGTTCAAAAGGAAAGCAAAACCTCACCCTTCCTTGCGTGCGCTTTGAACGCGCTGGAAGGAAAACAGTAGGTCAGAGCTTGCTGCTTCTGCCGCTCCGCTGCCGGCGGCGGAGTTGTTAAATGGTTTAACGCCAGCGCATCTCTTAACGGAGTTTCGTCAAGTCTCAAACCACTTGCTTTTATCGAGCATTTTCGCAGCATCTAGTTCAGCTGGTCGCGTGCACAGCAAGGTCTTGGTTCCTCACTAGCGAAAAGCATTCTGCATTCTCAGTCTTTTTTTGTTGTTAAAGTCACCTTTATTAACAAAAAGTCCTTTTAAATGACGAGACCTGCAAACCGGCGCCGCAAGTCCTCTCTGCCTTCAAAGGCCTTTACCGAAGGCACGCAGGACGGACCCCGGCTCACAACGCCTTTTAACGGCAGCTTTAACAAAGGGACCCGGAGCCTCGGCCGTTCTCGGCCCGGGGAGAGGCGGCGGGAGGCAGCGCCGCCGCCCCGGGGCAGCTCCCTCCCGCCGCCGGGGCAGGGCACCCGCTCTCCGGCCACGGCTGACACAAAGAGTGGCGGAGAAAGGACGCGACAGGACCGAGACGGAGGGCAGCGAGGCGGAAGGCAGAAGGAAAAAAAAAAAAAGAAAAGAAACCAAAACCCAAACAAAACACAACCACCCGTAGAAAATCCTGAACAAGCAGCCGGGGAAGCGCGGCTCAGACCGAAACGCCGGAGCTAGGAAAAGTACGAACGGGGGCAGTTAACGCCGACGGGAGCGGGCAGGGAAGAAGAAGGGCGGGCGCCTCAACCTTTTTTGGCTGAAGCACGATTCGGCCCTCGGCCGTGCCAGCGCCAGCGGCAGCGCCGGCCTCCGCCCGCCCCCGCCC